AATGGAAACCTCCACATAAAATAGCGTATCAGCAGTTATACTACTCCTACCATGCTCATCCTTATCTCATATGAAAGATAAGAAGACTTCCTACAACTCTCATAAAGACACCAAGTCTTAATTCCTTCATCTACCTTGTTAAAAATGATAAAATCCGCAACAGCTATAACCAATGCTAGCAGCTTGACCCCTCTTCACTAAAATAGCCATATCTGGAGTTCTAGAACTCCTTTTTGGGTGATTCCAGTGCCATTGGAAATCTAACATCCAAGGTTACAACTTTCATGAAGACTATAAAGTCAAATTCTGAAAGAAAAACACACGCCGGTGCATTAAAATCACGCCCGGCGCAAATCTCAACCAGAGACCTACAAAGGTCTTTTGCGCCCAGCGCAATTATCCTGCGCCCGGCGCAATATCAGTAACAAAAATATAAGATTTATGTCTAATAGTGCGCCCGGCGTGGTTATCTCCACGCCCGGCGTGATTCACCTAGGGATTCCCCACTTCAAATCACGTCCGGCGCGAAGAACTGCGCCCGACGCAATTTCAAACAGTAACCTTCACCACTTCGAAAATTTCACCCAAAACCTGCAAAACATCCCAAACATATGCAAACCAACCAAAGTGTCACATTTTCAACCAACAGCTCAAAAATCATGCCTTTTTACACATGCAACATCAAACAAGGAAAATCCCCGAATTTTCATCAAAACCCCGGAAACCCTGAAAACCTGTTTTCATCAAAACAGCTAATCAATCATTAGAAAATCAGCCACTCAATGAGTTTATGAACTCATTTCCAACAAAATCAGCCAAAGAACTAGCTTCCCTTACCTCGGTGAAGAATCCGAGCTTCGGGACCGCGAAGAACGGAGAAGAAGATGAAGAAGAGATCAATGGAGAAGAGAAAAAGGTTTCCGGCTTCCAGCTAACTTCACACAACCCTACACCTCACCTACAACCACCAAGATCACCTCTCACCCAAAAGAGGGGGAAGAAGAGTGTAAGAAAAAGTGAGAATGAAAGTTTAGAGAGAAAGAGAGTTGAAAGAGAGAGATGAGAGAAGGGGTCTCACATTCCACGTACGTATTAGTTTTTAGTTTTAACTATTATTTTTGTTTGTACATTGTACGAACTAAATTTTTTTTTTTATATAATAATATTTCATAATAAATAATATGAACTATATTTTATACTTATGAAAAATCATTTAAATTATCATATGTATATTTATTTATTTTATAATAAATAATATGAAATTTATTTTATATCTAATTGTGGAATAGTATCCAACTTCTAAGTAGACAAAAAAAATGTTATGAATATATAATTGAGAGAGTGAGAAAAGTGAGAGTTTCATTAATTAAATTAAGAATTTTTAATTTATAGAATATGAGTAAATTTGTTTATAATTTAAATATTAGTTTATGTTTCTTATCTTTTTAAAAAGACTTTTAAGTCTGCATCATATGTTTACTACATGTTGATTTGACCTTTGACCTAGGCTTAGGGTCGACTCTAACTATAACTTACCTAACATGTTGAAACTAATAATGTCTTTAGATTAAGAAATAAAAATAGGTATGTATATGTTAGGAGCTTAAGATTATTCTTTTACAAGAATTGAAAGGATAGAATCGAAGATGATCCAGATTGGAAGCTAAATATTTTGGTGTATTGGTGTATGAGATTTACAAAATCTATAAAATATATATATATATATATATATATTTTAATCAGATAAAATTTAGATACAATGATATAAATGATATTATTTTTAATTAAATTAAAATTTCACTTAGTAACATATGTAAATATATATTATTTATGTGAAATTTTAATTTTAATTAAAAAATAATATAATTATATTAATGATATTGTGTTTAATATTATTTTTATTTTTTATTTTTACACGGATCATTTATTCTTTATTTATATTTTTTATAACTCCCTAAAATTACCTTCTACTATAGTATTTTTTTTTAAACTACTTATCATTAGTTGTTCAGATATATTATTATATAAAAGAGGTATTCGTTGTGATAATTATTTATTTTAAATTTTCATTTTTACATGAATTACTTTATCTTTTTATATTTATTTTCTATTACTTTCTAAAATTATATTTTTTTATATTTATTATCAACAAATATTTCTCGTTAAATATGGAGACAAACTACCTTCATTCCTTTTAGTTAATTATCCAAATTTTAGAACATATTTGTTTTTACACATTTATCATGAAAATAGAAATGTAAAAAACTAATATGCGCTTATTGTGAAGTTGAAATGAAAGGATAAAATTAGAAACTTCATTACTATTTTAGCAAGATCAAGAAAATTTATTATATTTTTTAATTTTTTCATAAAAATCATAAAAGATGGATAAAAAGGATTAAAGGCAGTAGATCAGGGGTTCGAATCCTGCCTTGTGTATGCAGCCGCGTTAAATCTTGGGGCCAGCTATCTCACCCTTTGAGGTGCCTCCAACGTAGCGAGGAGATTAGTCACTGCTGTCGGCGGTGGATACTCCAAGGACGAACAAAAAAAAACTATATGGAAGCTAGCTACATCATTAATCAAGCAAATAATAATAATAAAATCCACACAATTTGGAAATGATCTCCAAGG